ATGACATTTTTAAAAAGGGACTGGGTTTGGGGAGGTTGGGTTTGGGGAAAAACTCACTTTTTATATTTCTGTTTCATGTTGCAGGGCCACTCTTATTTTAAACCGTCTGCTGCTAGGGTGATAATTGAGTTGAGTTACTTAAACTCGGCTCAGATAAGAATATGAGTTGAATTTGAATAATTTTTTATTAAAAAATGAGTCTAAAAAATTCATCTTGTTTATATGCAAAATGGTTCAACTATTCAGGTTCAACTTATTTTTTAAACGAGTTGATCTTAAACAATTTTTTAGATTTGTTTAAAAAAAATGAGTTCGATAAACTCGACTCGAGTATACAAAACTCAGCTCATTTTCTCTCTCTTGCACATATCCATCATCCATGTTACATGTTTCCTAGCTAGCTCTTTGACAATGTGAGAGTGGAGTTAATGAATATTAGAAATCCCTTAACGTCAGTTGATAAGGGGAGAATTTATCTTTTATGAATATCTTAATTCAAACATAAATGACTTGTCTTTAACCGAACCAGAAAAGAGATTAATCGAGGTGGATATAAATTAACTCGAATACCTCTTCCCGTTAAAAAAAAAAACAGAAATAGCTTGTACATCTCTCTTTTACCAATTGCTTGCAAAAGAAGGGTGGCTACTTAATTGGCTTCATTTACAGAAATACCATTGCCTTTTTATTTCGTTGTTGGAAAGGTCACAAGCATTAATTGGAGACTGAGTTATATTATCGGGGTTATTACTCAATTCAACAAAATCTTGTTCTAATCATTTAAACTCAATTAATCTCGTTCATTTGTAACTCTTTGGTTTTTCGGACCCGTTACATGATTAAATTAATTAAACATAATGTGGGGCGAAACTAAGAATTTGGCTCAGGATTAGCACTTTAATTATACACTTCAATTTTTTTTCTTCTAACTAATCACACTACATAATATATTTATATTTATTATATTATATTTAATATATGAAGTCCATTTAACAAAAAAAATTCCAAAAAAAAATGTATATTGTCAGAGGCGGAGCAATAAATATCTATGATAGAAGCAAAATATAACTGGTATAAAAAAATATTTAGCCTAAATTAATACAAAAAAATTCAGTTCAAGAATAAAAAAAAAAGTAAGAATCAACACTAATTATTGTGAAATAGTAAATTCAATTTTTATTTAATCGAAATAAAATCTTAGCAAAAAAACACAAAATAAGTTTTTTAGTGCATTTTAATCTAATTATATTTTTCAATAAAATATAAAAAAATTTAAAATCTAAAAGTTTGTATATGAATTAAATGTAAATTAATTTTTCACTAATTTTTTATCAATGCGCACAATCACAAGTATGTAGTAAAATTATTTTTTATTTAGTTACAAAATTTAGTTGAGATCATTATCAATCTTATAGAGAAATTTCCTATTCAAAATAGTTTGAAATATTTTTGGGTTACAACATTTTATTTTTTGTATATAATCGTATTTTATTAGGTTATAAACTACTATTACTAAAAAATTGGTAAATGAAAACTAAAAATTATTTTTAAAAAGTAACGAACATTGTGTTAGATAAAGAGAAATATTGTATTTTTATCAATATACAAATAAAACATTGACTCAATTCAAAACTAACATATTTATTTTAGAGGATTAGTGGTCCACTAATTTATTAAAAAAAAAGGCTAGAACCACTATTAAAATTTTTAAAAATTTAGGGGATAAATATAATGTATAAAATAATTTTATAGGTTGGTACAAGAAATGACAAAAAAACTCAAGAAACTGAGCTTTTTGTGTGTTGAGCTTCTCTCAATTTCTTCTCTTTTTCTTGTGGTTGGGTAGTGGGCAGTGGGCAGCAAGGAGTGAGTGATACAGAGAGGGAAAAAAAAGGAAAGATAAGATAGGTTTTACTCAAGTGGGCCAAAAATTTTGTTTTTAATGTTGGGCCAAAATTGTTTTTGTTTTTAATGTTAGGCTAAAAGTTTTATTTTTTTAATAGGTTTGGGTGGATTGTGATAGATCAAATATTTGATTTTTTAATAAGTTTGGGTAGATAATAGTGAGTTCAATTTTTTTTTAAATGAACTTAATTTTTTAATTATTTTGGGTAAATAATGTGGGATTAATATAAATGAGGGACATACATAATATATATGTATAAATATATAATACATATATCTAACTAATAAAAAAAAAAGTGAGGGGGACCATGCCCACCCTTCCCCTACCTCGCTTCACCAATGATCATAATAAACAACAAATAAATTTTCGAATGCAGGCTAGAGTTTTAATTACCTCAATAAATTTATAATCACAATAATTTTGATCTCCAAATAACAATGAAGATAATCTCCTCAATATAAAAACAAATATGTTCAAATAATATATCACCGTAATAAACCCACAAAATTATACATTTAAAACTTTCAAATATCTCAACTCTGGTCCTTCCCTCAGAAATTATATATTACTACAATAAACCCACAAAATTAAAAATTATATCACGACTTGTTCATCTTCAATTCCTCAAATATCAACTTTAGTCATGCCCTCCAAAATTATCCTGAAAAAATATTAAAAGCAGTGATGTATACAATATGATAGAAAACAATATACTCAACGAAAAAAATTTGAATGATCAAATAATTCAGATGATAAGAATCATGGAGAACAAAATCAAGAATCACATTTGACAGACTACATAGCTCAACTGCTATCAAATATAGCCTCATACTCGATTTCTATTGATAACACGATAAATGACACTTGACCATTTAAATTTCAGACTCATATCGAACTATTACACTCCGCGGGCCTATAATCACAATCACACCCCGTATGAGCCATAATCACATTTCACAAATTAGGCACCAAGTACATTTCATACATGTACCAATCAATCCCAAAGTATTTAGCTCAACGTACAGATCAACCGATAAAATTGTTAGAATTTTGAATCAATTAAATTAATCAATAGGAATAAAAATATCAGATAATCAAAAGACACTCTTTGTAAAGAGATTTAAAATACAAGAGTATATTATATACTACCCTGTTCCTCCAAATCGAAAGAAACTTGGGCGTTACATCTGTGCTTTCTCAGGATACATATTCTCTTTTAAATCGTAAAATATCATATTTTTTTTACAGTGTCATTCAGAATTAATACAGAAAAAAAAAAAAAAAACTAACCATCGATACCTTAATAATATGTCAAAATTATGTCTAAATCAATTCTCTCATAATGTATTCTTTATTGTTTTTTTTTTTTGTTATTATCACATTCCCGTCTTATCATATTCATTTCTGTATTAATTGGAGAACAAAATATATTATCTTGAGTACTAAGCAACCACAAACTCTAAAGAGCAATGTTAGGTATAGGGTGTCAAACGTGTCGGGTTAAATAAGTACGTGTCGAATAAAATGGGCGATTGGTAAAAAACATATAAACTCATACACAATCTATTTAATAAACTGGAGAAAAATTTTAATATGAATATGAACTGTCTAATAAACGGATAAAACTGACACGTCTCATTTAACCCATTTAATTTTAATTTATTATTATATATTTTTTTATTGTCACTAAATTAAAAAAAAAGTTGTGGCTATCACTAAAAATAATAATAATATATATATTTCAAATTTTTTAAAATAATTATTAATTTATTATTATATTAATTTTATTTAAACAAATAAATGAGTGATAAATAGATTGACAGGACTCACTCGAATACGACTCGTTTAGTAAGTATTTTAGTTAAATGGGTCACCCGAATCCGTTAAGGTCTCACTCAAACTCGTTTAATTTATGTCGATTTGTGTCAGTTAATCATGTTATGTCAAACTTTAACAAGCCTAACTACAGGGACTTTATTTGGTAATTTAATCTGCAAACCTAATAATGTGGCTTTAATATTAACATTAGAACTCAAAAAATTTAATGATTGTGCATCATTAATTTCATAAATTAAATCTTTAAATTATGTCTAAATAGTATTTTCCAACTCAAAATACTCATTTTTTTTTGTTTGAACTGCAAAATAGTCGTTGTCCACGTGCTTGTTTTACTTTGTACGGATGCACCATGCACAAAGCCATCGCCCCAGCTGTTTTTGCTGTAATATTGGACTCATTTGTACCATCAGTGGGGGCCTTTGGAGATGATAGGTGGAATCTTTTGCCCCTTCTTGTCCCTGTTTACTACAAGTATTGTAAAGGGATAAAAATAAAGGAAACCAGTTACACTTGATTCAACAGTGTTGAAATCAAATATAAGCAAGCTGCCATTTAATATACTATTAATCGACTCATTACCTTGGGTTAAGTTTGTAGGTAGATTTGAAATCATACCCGACATGTTTTTAAAGAATAAGAATGATTAATTCTTAGAGAATATAAAAAATGATTGAATCAATCTGAAATATTTGAATTATCAAATATTAAACTCAATCACTACACAAAAAAAATTGGATTAAAAATTGTTTTTCCACCAATATTGTTCCCCATACTGTCATACGCGAGTAACCATAGCACAAGTAGATGCTTTGCAAGAAGTTGCTAAATTGTTAGATGTTAGATAAAGTCATGTTTCTCTCTCCTTTGCAAGGAAAAAAAAAAAGGAGGGGTGTTTTCTGCTTTGTTTACTTGAGCAAATGATTATGGCAAAGATATTCCACTCAATTGTCCTTTTTATATTGACAGATCAGCTTTCTTGTGCAAGAAAATATTAAAATGATAAGAACAAGATCAAGAAAAAACAGTTATATTCATGACATCATCACCTTGATGCAGAGTGTTGGACTCCAAGAAAATGGATTCCTAAATTTGGCAAAGTGGGTGTAGTCCTATAGAGGGAGAAATTGGTATAGAGAGATGCATCTCCGCAAGCAAAAAATGCGATAAAGACTTTTATTCACACTCACTTATACAAAGACACAAGTACAATGGGTTTCGGCATTTAACCAATACCCTTATTGCATGAAAGGGAACGGAAAGATTAAGAGCTCTTGTACTTCAAAGTGAATCTTATTGAAGAAAGTAAGATAACAACCCCTTAAACCCATGCAAATATTTGCTTACATATTCAACAAAAACATGTAATTTTCATTTGTGAGGGCTTGAAATATGATCAAATGGTGCGAACTTTGAATAATGCATGCATAGAACCGTATTCAACTTACGATATTAATATCCACCAATAATTTAAACTATATATCTTTGGGTGCTCTTTTAGCTGTAGCTCCACAGAGATTCTGTGGACCAGAACCCACTATCAACATACTCAGCACCGGGCAGTTGCCATGGCGATGTGTACCAGAAGTCACAGAACTCATCAGTCTGATCACCAACGTCGAGAAAGAGATCGGGCAAGCCCGCAAAAGGGTCGTTGGCTGGGCTTAAAGCTGAATTTGATGAGTCTCCGGTGGCCTCCGTAGAATACAGACCCACAACCTCCTCACGGTGGAGCTCAGCTTCATCTTCGGCTTCATGGGTGTTCCGAAATATTAAGGCGGCGGCTTTGGCCGCGGCTTGAATATCCTTAGGGGAGGTCGAAGCCAGCCGGGGAAGATCGTGAGCCAACTCCGGGAAGTTGAGAAAAGCTGATTTGCCTTTGATTTTGATAGTTGCTACATCATGAGCCCTAGCCGCCATTTCTGGGGTTTCAAACGTTCCAAGCCATATTCTTGATTTCTTCCTCGGTTCACGAATTTCCGACACCCATTTTCCCCAGCTCCTCCGCCGTACGCCGCGGTATATCGGGTGTTTTCCGTCGTCTCTTTTCTTAACCTTCTCGCTGGTTATCTTATCATCTGCATTTTCTCCTTCTTTAACTGATCTCTTAGAGGCTTTCAGTGTTATGATTTCGGTTGAAATTTTTGCTTCAGAAGGGCATGAACAGGAAGAGGTTGTGAAAAAGGTGGTGGTGGAGGAGGAGGAGGAAGAAGGGGCGGAGGAAATGGAGAAGGTAGTTTGATCTTCGCAATCTACATTGACAGTGTCCTCCATGATAGAAAATGGTTTTTTGATTACTAGGTAGGAGAACATGTGTGGGATAGAGTTTAAGGAGCTGAACTTATCATGGGGTAGATCTCGTTCCCCACCCCACCACTCCCCAAAAAAGGGTGCACAAAATTTGATTTTTTTTAAAAAAAGTGTTAATTAAAATACAATTTTATTAAATTACCCGTAATATATTTTTAAAAAAATTTATCTACATTCTTTAACTAGACATATTTTCAATATGACCTCTTTATTTTTAAAATTTTTTTAAGTATTAAAATATTAAAATTTGATTCGAGCTAATTAAAATTTATTTTTTATGTATTAAAATTTGAGTCGATTAAAATTCTATTCGAAACTCAAATCAAATTTTAATCAACTTACATTAAATTTTTATCGACCTGATTTTTTATACATAAGAAAATATATAATTTTAATTGACTCAAATTTTAATACAAAAAAAATAAATTTTAATTAACTTAAGTAAAAATTTAATAAATAAAAAAATATAAATTTTAATCAATTCGAAACAAATTTTATTCTTGGCTAACAACTCAAGTAGAGTTCGAATTTTAATATGTAAAAATAATTTTAATATTCTCAAATTTTAATATGTAAAAATAATAAAATTTAATTAGCTCGAATTTTAATATATAGAAAAATAAATTTTAATACAAAAAATTGTTTGGAGTTTTATGTAAGGTAATTTTGTAGGGGTAATTTTTACATTGTTTGGAGTTTATGTAGGAGTAATTTTGTATTTGAAATAATTTATTTTATAAATAGTGGTTTAATAGCAGGGGATGTTGGTGATTTTTTAATACTAGAGGGGGTATCATTGAAAATATGATAAACTAGAAAAGGTGTGATTAAAATTTTTCTTAATATTTTTACATTATGTTTTTAAAGAAATAAAAATGTTACAATATAATCTACCGTCCTATTTTGATTTGGTCGTTCGTTTGTTTTGTGATTAATGATTAATTGATTTGACACAAAATAAACAGACAACCAAACAAAAATAAAATGGTAGACCATATTACTATATTTTTATTTATTTGAGGAGATAATATAAAAAAATTAATTATTCAAGAATAATCTTAAAAAATTAGATTTTTCCCGACATGGAATGAAAGTCAATACTCAATACAAAAATTCGGCCGCGGAAAATAGATAGTTTACCTATGACCCATTTTCACTTTTACTTAGGGGTGTCAATTCACCCAATTTCTCTAGTTATTTTCCGGTTGTACTATCCTTAATCTTGTTTATTTCTCGTCAATATTCACCATACATATAATATTAAATTACAAAAATCATATGCAAATTTGTTTAATTTTATGATAATTCATATAATATCAAATAAACTTTAGATATTTTTTTTCTTCATACAAATACCAGTTTAAAGAATTGATCATGCTAAAAATCAATTCATTCGTATTAAATACTAATCCAATCCTAATATATTATTTTTATTATTATTTTTTTGGTCAGACACTATTACATAAGAAAAAAGGAGTTTTGAACTTATGATCTTAAGGTAAAATAGAGAGAACGGTGGGCATTTGCCGTTGCCATCAGTCGTCGATAAGTCTTTATCTTGTCTTTCTTGGCGTTTCAGCTCTCACCACAAAAATAGTATCTTATCCAATGATAAATTGCAAGAATTGACTAGGATATTTTTTGTTTGTCCCCCTCCCCCACCACTCTACCCCACAAATATAGGGATGGAGTCAGAAATCTATGCTTGAAGACCAAATATTATGTACATAAATTAAACCAACAACATGGATAGTATATACATATTAAGGATTCAAATTTTCAATGCACGAAAATATATCGACTACCATATTGCTCATAAGAAGAAGATGAACAATAAAAATAGTTTCTAATACATATCGGGTTAGTCCACTAAATTATCATGTGGTAACACACCCTAATGAAAGTTAAGTAATTCAACGAAAATTGCACAACTCAATAATAAAAAATAACCCAAATTTAACATTTTATACAGTAAAAACCTAGAGTTTGAAATACCGCAAATTAATTGGGAAAAAGAAAGTAACAAGTGAATCTCATAGAGATTAATTGGCTTTTGGTCGCTTTTGCAACTATATTCTTTTATATCTGAGTGACTTAAATTATATGGTTCTTTAGATCAAAAGTTTTTATGAATATTCGGAGTTAGATGGAAGGAAATGACTACCGAAATCTATAACAATAAAACAAGTCTTCTACTTCAGTTTGAAACGCAAAATAACAACTTAGATCATTTTGATAAGACCGTTTATATTAAAATATAACTTTTCAACCTTTTAATAATGGTAACTCATTTAAATTTGAGTTAATTGTAAATTACACCTTGAAAAATCGTTTGAGTTTTAATTTGTACTTTTAAAAATTAAAAATTTTAATTTACACCCTCAAAAATATAAATTTGTATCAACACGCAAATGAAGCTAACCACCATCAATTTGCCTTCTAAACTTGTTGGGTAAGTTATACCTAGACTCCCTAAAGTTTGTCACTTAATCATTTGAATTCCCTCATATTTAGAATATTATTCTCACACAACCTGACGTTTGTGCACGTATAATACATAACTCTTTATCATTGATTTTTGTTAATATAACCATTAAAAAATATAATTTTATCATAATAAAAAATTATAATTTTCATTCTACTATTTATTTTGTTGGTCCATTATACCCTAAAGTTCCAAACCAAATTTATCATTTAAATATATAATATAATGCATGTATTTATATAATGTAACATCATTTGAGCAGAATTATTTGGATGCTCAATTTGGAAAACATTTTTAGTCATATTTGGATTCTCCAGGAATGTAGATTTAATATTTCAAATGTGAGAGATCTAGATGATTAAGTAACAAGCATGAAGTGGTGTAGATGTAATTTATCCATTTAATTTTGAATGACAAATTAACGGCTGTTAGTTTTAGGTACACATTGGTATAGATTTCTACTTTTGAGGGTACAAATTGAGATTTTTAATCTTTAATGGTATAAATTAAGATTCAAACGATTTTTTGAAGTACAATTTGAGATTAACCCTTTTAATTTTTTAATTATAATAACTTAATTAAATATCAACTTTTTAACTACAATAACCCAACTCATACATAAAAAAAACGTGGTGAACGAGTGAATGAAATTCAAAAAGTTTAAAAGGCTTATTTTTGATACTTATCTAGAAAGAAGATATTTTACTAAATAAATTAAATTCAATATAACATGTGTTATCATGTATGGTGAGAATATTCTATTTTAAGAGTGATGGATTACTCTATTCCTATTCGGTGGGGGCCATATATATGTGCAGGTTAGCAAAAGTACAGGGGGGACCATGGCCCCCTGGGCCAAGCTACAGCTCCGTCTCTGCCCAGATATATACCTGGTTTTTAACCCGGGTTGCCATGGTGTGGTGTGGTGTGGATTCAATGGTCTCTCACCTTTTAATTTCATTGCCTAAGATAATTAAATTGGCGTGCTTATTGGGAATCTATACATCATCCTGTCCTAAGAGTAAATATTGAATGTAATAGTAATATTATATCAGTAATATTGACGTGATATTACTAATCAATAATAAATTACTTATTTGCTTATATGGAGGAAGGTGTGTAATTATTTACTCACATGAAAGATTGATTATTAATTTTAATTGAATCTATTTACTTATTTATTACATAGTATCACTGTTGTAATAAATATTTACTCCTATCCCATAACTTTGGAGGTTGATCGAAGAGAACGCCAATGCAAGATCATGGTGAGCCTGTGAAACCCATGTCCCAAATCCCTTACAGCATGTTTGGATGGTTTTGGGATCAGGGATTGGATTGTGTTATCAAACTCTTCAAAACTCAACCTCCACTTTTGAGTATATGGGGTACATAAATCAATTATATCCATACTTATGTTTGGTAAGTAACAAATACACATGTAGAACTCATGAATTTATCACCATTATCACCATACATTTGTCATGTAAATGACTATTTTACCTATCGGTCAATCTAATCTATATCTATGTTTGTTTAAGTAATTCGAACTAAATTAAGGGGTACAAAAGTATTTTATCAATTGAATCCAATTTTGCACCATAGAAATCTACTCCCTTGGGTTTGCTGAAGCCAATGTTCATGGGTAGGGGTGTTCAAATTTTCGATTAGTCGCAATTTCCTATTATACCCGACTTTATCCGATTCTATTGAACAGCTAACTGAAAAAATCGGATAAAAATGGGAAAGAGTTTTTGGTTTTTCGATTAAATCGGGTAGGAATGCGAAAAAGTTTTTAGTCTTTCGATTAAATCGAGTAGAAATGCAGAATAACCATTAATTTTCCTATTTCTACCCTACCCTACCCTACCCGCATTTAAAATTTCCGAATAGCCATTTTTTTTTTAATTTTGTTTTTATTGAATGACTGGTTTTTATTAGATATTCCATAAAATTAAGATCTATAGTTAAAAATTACTTTCAATAATGTATTGAAATTTTTTTTTTTTTAAGTACTACATCCATATGCGTGAATAACCCACCAGGGGGCCCTTTATGAATTGATGAGAGGCAATTTCGGTGGCAACTGATGGACCAAGTAGACAACTAGAGAAAGACAATCACCTTAAATAAGGGTTGCTAACTGCAAAAGGACCACTATTCGTTTTGGGCTAGCCTGAGCCAGTGAGTCAGTGACCAGTCTTAAATGCAGTAATCTAAGTCCTCACGTTATGAGATGAGATCTAAGCATGATATTCTTTTGAAAAGATTCACATGATTGAATGCTCAAACGTCAAACTCTCTGGTCCCCATAGACGTCATAGATCCCATTTATCAGACTCCTCATTTTGTGGACCCAATATATATGGACACTAGAGGTGCGTAACTTGTTCGGGTTTTGGTAATTGAGCATATCAACTTGTAATAGTCGGTGCAGGTTTGAGAAAAAAATTTTAATTTGACGGTGGTACCCGTGTTAGAATCTCAAATTTTTAAGACACAATCCAAAATTAACCTGAAATTTAATCTGAATTCTAGTACTAGTGCAATTCTATAATCAAATTCAAATCCACATTAAAAACAGAATTGAACCCAAATTTCGTCCCTAATTATTTATTGGGTTATATGACACGAGTTGTTTAATCTATTTAATAAACGAATCAGGTGGGTGGGGCCGACTTAACAAGATAACTTTTTTAACCCGTCAACCATTTAATCTGTTTACTTAAACATGCTCTAAAAATTTATTATTAACATTCTGGCTTTTTTTTAATTATTATTATATTAATATTATTTTATCAAGTAAATAGGTGATAACCCGATTGACACGTCTCACTCGAACACAACCTATTTATTAAAAAGAAATTTGTGGGGAGGTACACTTTTTTAAAAATATTTCTGGAAAAGTCTGTCGCGCCAAACTTTTAAGTTAATAAGTATACTTTTTATAAAACATTTAGTGGCCAAATACATATTTTCATATTTTAGTAGTACCTAAATGCCCTTACTTATTTTATGCAACATCTAGTAGTTTACCTCTTTTTTTTTTAATTCTATTTTTATTGACCGAGTGATTTCCTATTTTAATGAGCAATTAATCGTTTTTTCATATTTACATTTTTCATATTCATCTTTTTCAAACAGTTACTGATACCCATTATTAATCTTCTACAAGAGGGGTCATCAAGGCTGAGACTACAATCGAGGGCTTCAAAATTGCATCCAAACATAGATTTTTTTAAATCCATCATACCAAACTTTTTTTTATTCATCTACCAAACAGGCTTTTACAGTTGTGTATGAAGTACATGGTACAATATGAATTTCAGACCATTATTGTACAACACGTTCTAAAATTCGTTCTTGATGTTGACGAGTGATGATCAATGCGAGATACAAATTTATGATACATCCACAAAATGATTAATGGAACACATGAGCAAAGGACATTTGAAATTTTGGTAGGAAAAATACAATCCCCTATACACTCCTCCAGGCAAATCTTGGTCTTTTGCCTTCCATTTTGAAGACCAAAACAATGCAATATCTCGACTCATCAAACAGAATTAGTCTCAAACATTACAAATGTAACAGCTCAATATAACACTACATCCAAGTAGCCCAACATCCAAAAGTTAGCTATATTAGTGTTAGACACCACCATGCTATACATACATTTCAAATATATGGATCCGACGATGTACATGTTCTTCCAGAGTCTAGCAGTACGAAGCTGTGGCTTCAGAATAGGCTGGATACATTCACGGTAGCTTTCGCGATCAACCGCGAATGTATCCGGATGTCATTTAAAGGATCCTCCCAAGCAGCCACTTCGTAGAGTTTTGGATACACACTTCCATCATAGCAGCCAAGAATTGAACCGAGGGAGTGGTCTGTGTAGTTGAATGCATTGACCACACAGAGGAATGTAGCTATGACAACCATGGATGCAGCATGACAATACAAACCAAAACCCGCACAAATCAAAACAAAACGGTTTTCCAGCAATATAATTGGAAGCAGATCAATCATTGAAAACGTAGACACATAGATTACCAGGAGGATAACATCTCTTTTTGACCCAAAATAAATGTAAAGATTCAAATAATTTCAGACAAGAGTTGCTACACATCCTAGCAGGTAAACGTTTACATTAAGTTAAATGATCCCCAAAACCATCGCTGTTATGATGCTCCACCCAATGTAACCCAAACCAGCCTGCACATTATTGCTTGTATTAAAAGGAAATCTATGGAGCTCAAAAGACTAAAAATAGCAAACCTACATTCTGAAGCTGGAACTCTCAATTTCTAGACTGCATGGATTGGACTGTTGCTTGAGTTCATGTCTGAGCTGCCAGCGGCAGTATTGGCATGGAAAGCTGACTGCCTAGTGGAGCCATTGAGCAGCTTTAGTGAGAGAGAGGATGATCCTGCTTCGCCTGGGGAATCCCCTAAGCTTAGTTTCGACATGCCAATGAGCTCATCAACATTAATTGGGCTCTTTGAGTAAACTGCTGTTGGCTTAAGCACTTCATGAGTTTCCAATTTGGCTGGCTCTGCACTGTACCCAGACAAAAATGCAGAAGAAAATGGAAAGCACGGAGTGATATATGCAGGATATTGGACTGGATATCCACATTGTGAGCCATCTGGTCTGTGAGGTACAGTTTCAGTGTTGTTGGAATTGGCAGAATCCATTGACTCGCATTCTTCATCCACAGGAATAGGAGCAGGCAATGGATTGTCAATTTCTCTCTCTACTTGTGGAGGGTCGATGGCATACAAATCCGGTGATAACATTGAAGTACCGAGTGACTGCAGAAATGCGAAGAACAGCAAGAAGAAGAATCAGTAATCCCTCAAAAAAAAAAAAAGAAAAAAAAAAAAAAAAAGAAACATATTCATGAAAACACTTCACTTGAAAGTACCAAATGAAGCATCTAAAATCATAGAGATCTAAACCTTGGCTTTTCTAACATAAAGCTGGGTCCCCTTATACAGACTTAAACAGCATAAATATTATTTTGAGCAAGGCTGAAAACCACTGAAGTGGGCCAGTCCATTTGCATTTATGTCGCAGCATCACCATGCCATGCCACTATGGCTTTTACAGTCACATTGAATGAGATTCAGAAGAAATAAATCCCATTAACAATAAAAACATAGGTTTTGTCAGAAACTACAACAGTAAAGGTAAAAATGTTATCCATAGTCATAAATGATTAACCATCAAAAGTTTTATTTTATTATATTTAATGATTAGTTAATTGCATATTATTTGTGAATTAATGTGTTAAATTTCTTGATTTTCTAGTTTGATACTTTTTCTAATTATTTGGTTTATTTTGCAGGCAAATTGGTAATGGATAACACAATCACTAGAGGAAGAATCACTATTACTAAGAATTGAAGAGTCAAGATTAAGATAGAAAGATTTAAAGATAAGATGACAATTTAATCTTTATAAGAATTCAAGTTAAAAGAAAATTTATTTAAAGTTAGATTAAGAAAGTATCCTAGAAGATAAGGATTTGACACGTTTTCAGTATTTTGGTCAAAACTTTTGACTCCGATATCGGATTGACCTGATTTTTGTGGGGTTAAAAATAAGATTTAAAAGGTTACAAAAGTGTATTTCACAAAAAATTTGTGAATTAGCCTCTACATATGCGAAATTCAAATTTGAAGTCTGGACAGATTTTACACCCGCGATCACAAGATTTTATGCACACGATTTAAATTTAAAAGACTTCTCTTTGAAATGAATTCCTTCCAAGCCAACTTTTTATCTTCTACCTATATCTAGAACTTATTTTAGTATAAATAAGAGCTCTCACCTATTGAGAGAGGATGATTTGGATGATTAGGATTATTATTCTTTTTGCATCTTTTCTTTTCTAATTTTTGTTCTTGTTTTATGGCTTGCTAAAAGCCCAACTAAAGTTAGGGAAGATACTTTTAATGAAGTACAATATTTATTATTGATTCAATATTCTTTTTAATGCATGATTTATTCTTTTAACTTAATTCCTATCTTCTAGTAAAGTTTTTGCTCTGTATAATTTATTGATTCATTGTGCCATGTACATCGAATGTTTGAGATTTTCTGCGAGACAAATAATTAATTATTCTATACTTGAATTAATTAATTAGAATTTATCATAAGATAATTGATTTATTATTTACAATAAAATTAGGATTTACCTGTTGAAAAGTTTAATTTATCAATAACTTTTGATGTTTTCATATTATCACCGCTAAATATTCCGATTGAAGTCGCTACTCAGCTGATTCTCAATTGAGTTCGAAAACTGAATCATTAATAATTACTGTGTGAATTTGAAATGGTATCCCTGATACTTTAATATTTTAACTATTACTTTAACCAACCCACCTTTCTCTTGTTGGATAAATTCTTACTTAAATAAATTTCGAAACAATTTTCTTTTATGTGTTTTGTGTCTCTTGTTTTCACAATAGTTTGACTTCGAATTTTCGAGAAATTTATTACTTCGTACAACCTGCACTTAGGTGATCAATTCTAAAGTTGTAGTAAGTTTTTTTCGCTGTTGCCAGGGGAGTTGTTTGAAGACAAGGAGTGCACCGCCATCTATTGAGGTTTGCTAGATTTGAGATTTGTCACAGATCCAGTAATCTCGTCCCTTGTTTTTTTTATTATTTATTATTTATTTTTTTTTCCTTCAGGTTAGATTTTTTATAATTTTTATTTTTATATTTACATTATTTTAATGAGGTGTTTAAGTGTTTCCCCTATCAAAGAATTGTGTGATTTGTGATGTGTTTGGTTATTCCACTGAGGTGTGTCCTTGAATTCCTACGGCTCGACGATTTTTTAGGGATAGGTCAATTGTGTTACCTAATTTTATTCCACCTTACTCCAACCATTGTTTTAAAATTTTTTATCCTGATTTTAGTTGGAAAAACAAACATTATCAGTTACCAGTACATGCCAAACCACCACAAAGACCCTCCCATGACCCGCAAGAAAAGAATTTGGAACACATTTTTTGTGATTTTTTGCAAAGTCAACTAGCTTTCAATGCCCAAATAAACCAATATATTGAAGAGATAAAAGACATGCTCAATACATTGATACAAGAACAAGAAATTGAAAATGGTCAATCTAGTGAGGGTGATTCTTTTCCTGAACTACAGACAGATGGTGAATCTATTAATACTCTTGATATTGAAAAATTAAGTGATATTATTATTCAACAAGAGATTAATGAGCTCAAAGATCTTTCATTATCAAAGAGTATTAATGAGATTCACATATCTAACCTTAGTGAGGGTTTGAAAGTTGAGTTGTGTGCTATAATTGATAAAGATATATTTTTTATCTCATTGTTATATATATATATATATATATATATATATATATATCTTTTCTTGAATGTTCAAAAGATATATTGAATATATGAGTGGATAATTCGATTAAAAGAGTTACTTCGACACCATGCTTTTAAGCCATTAAAAATAAAATGGCATATATTCAAATATTGACTTTAAATCAGATTGAAATTTAGCTTTTATTTTTATTTGTACATAGTAGTTAGATTTTATTTTATTTTTTTAATTTTAGTTCCTTTCTATTTGTTTCAATTTATAGTTTTTTTTTGTTGAGTTTTTATTTTTAAGTTTTAGAGTTGTTGCGGCACTAGGTATTCCTATTCCTTTGATCTTTATTCATTATTTTTATTGAGCATTAAGGTACTTATTTTTACATTGAAGACAATGTTGAAGTTAGGTCGAAGGGTGTGGATGTATTTTGTGTTTTGACAATTTCTAGTTTATTAAAATTTTAGTCTAAAAATTAAAAATTATTAAATAATTTTAGTTTAAAAAATATTTATTGTTATTAAATATCTAAATAATATTTTCATTTATAATTTGACACCACAATATAAAAATAATTTGTTTAACTTTAAATTTGCAATTGTTTGAGCATCACATAGAACTTTATTCTCTCATATCATATTCTTATAAAAACTCACAATTTATGCACTTTAGACTTTATCAAGTTGAAAATTTGTTAGGTATTTTACCTTAAGAACTTAAAACATATAGTGGAGATGCATAAAAACCCTGGTAAATTTTGATTCAATCTTTTTTGGAGGTTTATTTACATTTACTCAATAAAGAATATTTTTATTCAGCTAATCTCCTTCAATAATCTCATTATTTTTGTTTTGATCAACACCAATATTATGAATGATTGGTTGACTTTAAATTATTTGTATAAGAAGTATGCTATCAAGAACTCTTGAGATATGATTTTAGGCCATCTGTGATATTATTTGAGTCTAAGTCTTATTCTTTGAATATTATTATCCCTAAAAACCGTGATTGAGCCTTCAAGCAAAATTTTATTTCTTATACCAAACATAAAATAACCAAGCCAATGAAAAAAATAATATAATTTATCCTTGATTATCCCGAGATTGAGTTTTTATTGTTTAAGTAATTTGGAAGATGTTGACTGACAAAAGATGAAACAAAAAATTTTGCATACTTTTGAATATCTACATTAGATGTTTTGCCCAAAAAAAAAAAGTATATATATTCAGTTGTCTTATTGAAGAAAAAAGTTGAAAAAAAAGAATGACAACATGTCTAACTGTGAAAAATAAAATTCAAAAAAAAAAAAGCAAAAAAAATAGCAAGCACGAGTTTTGAAAAAAATATGAGCAAGTGTTGTAAATTGTGCTTCTAATTGATGAAAAATGAAAGATTATAAAAAGAAATTTGGTTGTGTAATGTAAATGTTCTCTCGGGATAATTTTTTTGAATTCCGGAATATCCTTCATTTCAAAACCCTAATCCCAAGGTTCCATTACAATCTTAAATAAAAACCTATCTGATCTCAAGAGTGTATTGGTCAATGCATGACTTGTGTGAATAAGGAATAGAATGGTGATTATTTGTTTATTGTGTGTTAATTTTGTTTCATGAAACTATGTCAAATCATTTTCTTTTAAATTATAATTATTTAAATAGACATGTTAACATTATTTTGTTTTAATTTAAATATCTTCTTTTTACATGTGATATTTGAAGGAATAGTCACTATAATCTGAAAGAATCTCTTATGAGTGAATTATCTAATGAGATTTGATGTTGAGACGAATAGTTGATAGTTGTAGAGGTGATTACCGGATAAATTATTGACTTGGTATAGCTAATTCACACTGCACACGATTTTATATGGGAATATGATAAGTGCATACATTTATATAGTGTACAATTCTATATTTTACTTTACATATGCTTATTAAAAGACTTACAGCTTAAAATTTTTATATTGTGGTAATAATTTGTGTTATAAAATTATTGTTCAGATATTTGATCACAGGATGATGTTTGTGGGTATCATCTTTGAAAACTCTAGGGGTTTAAAGGCTTGTTGCATATACTAAATGCAATCGTGAATCCAACAACAGTAGATTTGTGCTTTATTTTATTAGGTTATTTTATTTTTAATTTTTAGGATTTTGAAATCCATATATTACTAGGAACTAGTAATATTCAAGTTGGGGATGTGATTAACCATCAAAAGTGTTATTTTATTATATTTAATGATTGGTTAATTGCATATTATTAGTGATTAAATGTGTTAAATTCCTTGATTTTCTAATTTTATACTTTTCTATAGTTGTTTGGTTTATTTTGCAGGTAAATTGGTTGATTTAAAATAATAATGGATAACAATCACTAGAAGAATATTCACAATTGTTAAGAATTGAAGAGTCAAGATTAAGATAGGAAGATTTTGAAAATAAGGTGACAATTTAATCCATATAAGAGTCCAAGTTAGAAGAAAATTTATTTAAAGTTAGATTAGAAAAGTATCTTAGAAGATAAGAATTTGACACGTTTTTAGTATTTTAGTCATAACTTTTGACTCTGATATCGAATTGACCTGATTTTTGTGGGGTTGGACAGAAGATTTCAAAGACTACAAAAGTATATTTCACAAAAAATTCGTGAATCAACTTCTACATATGCAAAATTTTAGCTTGAAGTCTACACACATTTTGCACCCGCGGCCCCAAAGATTTTATGCACCAGATTTAACCTTAAAAGACTTCTTTTTGGAAAGAAATTGCTTTCAAGCCAACCTTTTATCTTCTACTTATATCTAAGACTTATTTTAGTATAAATAAGAGCTCTCACCTAATGAGAGAGGATGATTTGGATGATTAGGATTATAATTATTTTCTCATCTTTTCTTTTCTAATTTTTGTTCTTGTTCTATGACTAGCTAAAAGCCCAATTAAAGCTAGAGGAGATACTTTTAATGAAATACAATATTTTTATTGATTCAATATTATTTTTAATGCATGATTTATTCTTTTAATTTAATTCTTGTCTTCTAGTAAAATTTTTACTTTGTATAATTTCTTGATTCGTTGTGTCATGTACATCGAATGCTTGAGATTCTTTGTGAGTCAAATAACTGATTATTTCATACTTAAATTAATTACTTAGAATTTATCATAAGATAATTGATTTATTATTTGTAATAAAATTAGGGTTTACCTGTTGAAAAATTTGATTTATCGTAGACTCCGGACACAGTAAATACTTGTGATTTACAAATAAATTTTTATATTTATTCAGATAATTCATTAATTATAACTTTTGATATTTTCATATTATCACCGCTAAATATTCCGATTGAAGTCACTCCTCACCTGATTCTCAATTGAATTCGAAAACTGAATCATTAATAATTATTGTGTGAATTTGAGAGGGTATCTCTGATACTTTAATATTTCAATTATTGTTTTCACTAACCCACCTTTCTTCTGTTGAATAAATTCTTACTCAAATAAATTTCAAAACAGTTTTCTTTTATTTGTTTTGTGTCTCTTGTTCTCACAATTCCCTGTGGTTCGATCTCAGATTCCCGAAAAATTTATTATTTCACACAACCTGCACTTAGGTGATCAATTCTAAAATTGTAGCAATAAACAAACTTCAATTCTTTCCTATTAAAAGTTAATCACTAGAAACTTGTTATAATTATAAATAATTGTACAATATCTATATGTGCATGGTCAAATGTCTGGATCATGTTGTTATGCAAAAGAGGGAAAAATACTTACTTCATCAGCTACAATATCAAACAAGCTAGACCGTCTTTTTCTCCTAGACACATTACTTTGCCTGATGAAATACTTCTGGGCATGACTGGCCACCTGAGTGGGTGTTCTTGAAATTACATAATTGCGTGCTATACCCCGCCAATCACCTTTGCCAAGCTTTTGCAGACCAAGCAGAAACATCCGGTGTTCCTCTTCAGTCCATGGAACGCCTGCAAGTCAAATTGCACAACCTTTTCAGATGCACACAGTGCAACAAAAATGATGTGTCACAACAAATCAAATGCAATATGAACTTGGGACACTAAATTCTCCTTAACAGTAACCAGTGTGAAGTAAATAACACAGTAAAACTGATCTAGTAGTACCACGTTTCATCGAAACCAAGACATTTTGTACAATTGAAGCATAGAAAAAGAGTAAACGTAAATGCTAGTATAATTTGGAATTTTCTAAGGACTTCGATCTTATGAGGAATCAAAAAACATATTGCATTTCGTGAAGTGGCGAGCAAGTGAGAGAATTGAAGACTTGCCAACAAGATTTGTGCACAAGTTCATGACTTGAAACCTCTCCGCCTCCCCCTCTCTTCTTCGAGTGAAAGGAACCAAGATGGATATCCACAATGCACATTTTTAGTCACCCAGTGAGTAATTCACAAAACACCAAAAAATACTGCATTACTAGTGTGCTTGAACTGTTAGCAAAGCAGTAGAATTGCCTTAGGAGACATACATTCCATCACATTAATTGCGATTAGCCATTAACTGCCTAGTTACTCCGCACAAATCATTCACATACTAAAGAAAGCAAGGAAAAGTGGAAAAAAAAAAAAAAAGCTCGGTAGGTAAAATTTCCATTTCTAATTCCTAGTTTTCTGATAATTAGCATTTCAAAATAAAACCCTTCAGTCAACCAAGCTTAAGTCAACTATCCAATCGAGTTGAGATCTTTATTCTTTAGAAATACCAAGAATAATATCACCCAAAATTTGGCTTCATACCAATTCAACCATCCAATCCAAAGAAATATAGTGAATTTTTCAGCAATTATGAAACCCAAATTCACATTCACTAACGCCCAACTTAGTCACCCAAAAATCCAAAACTTGAAGTTATTCACCGAAACTTCTCAGCAACCCAAAAGAATTCAGTGCTTTAATTTTCACCCAAGGTTGCAGCAGTATAAAAGAGAAAAAGAGATAAAACCAACTCTGTTTTTTTTTTTTTTCAGCAATGAGACGAAGTGAAAATTGAACTTCATCCACAAACAAGTATCATAATCAGCGTCTAAAACAGAAAAAAACTCAGAATTAGTTCTTCACAAATATAAGAATAAGATCCAAACCAGCCCATTATATTCTGGATATGATTCAATTTCAACATGCCAACTACTAAAGAGCGTATTCGATATACAAGAAAACCAATCCGAACCATCAATTTACCAAGCCAAAACTCGAAATCAAACATTAAATCCCGAAAACACATACGAGCGTGTCCGTGTGCTTTACAGACGCATGTACGTACATATACATACCTTTTTTTCTTTCTCGGCTCGATGATGAGCCAGGAACGAAATCCTCGGAACCATAACCATCAGCGGCGGCACCGTGATCAGGGGTGTCACCGGGAGAGTCATGAGCAAAGCCGGTTTGAGGAGTACTGTTATTGGATAATGATCCGGTATAGTGGGTCAGGTTACCCATACTAGCACTCTTCCGGATTGATCCATCCGTCAATCGGACTCCGAACAGCTTCACTCCGCGGTTCGGACACGTCCGTGAGTTGTGGCCGTTGTGGCTGCAATGCGAGCACCGCCGTGTCATAATATCTTGGTACGACTTCAAATCTGCTTGCTCTGACTCAGAAATGACAGATCCGAATTCAAATGTCTCACGCAGGCGAGAGATATTTTCACATGATCTAAGAGAGAGAAATTGGTGTTAGGGTTTGAAGCACTCTCCCTCGACTTTCGTTCCGGGGATGGAGAGAGAGAGAGAGGGAGACAGAGAGGGAGATATATTCAGATATAGAGAGAGTAAATTAGATAAGGACACGCATGGATTACTATGGGGGTCCGTGTATATAAGAAACTGGGCATGGTATTGTACGGACTTTTTTTTTTTTTTTTTTGTGTTAAATGTACTAAAAGTCTTATTGAATATATTTTTAGGTTAATTATAAATTACACCCTAAAATATCATTAAAATCTTAATTTGTATCCTCAAAAATTAAAACTCTTAATTTGCACCTTAAATATAAAAATTTGTATCAATTGTACCCTCAAATATCAAAAATCTCAATTTGTACTCTCAAATATATAGATTTGTATCAATGTGCACCTAAAACTAAATTGATAAATTATACTTAAATCTTCTTATACTTGTCACTTAATCATTTGAACTCCTTCACATTTAGAATATTACTCATATATCTCATGATGTTTGTACACGTGTAACACGTAACCCCTTTCGTTGATATCTGTTAATTAACGAAATCTGTTAATATAACTGTTAAAAAATATAATGTTATTCTAATAAAAATTTATAATTTCATATTACCCTTTATTTTATAGGTCCAATATACTCTAAAGTTCAAAATCAAGCTTAACATTTGAATGTGTAATAGAATAAAAAGTTACACATTGAGTAATATATTGCATTGGATATAAAATATTATATAAATATTTACATTCTATTGGACATTCAAATGCTAAGCTTGATTTTGAACTTTAGAGTATATCGGATGCACAAAATAAAGGGTAATATGAAATTATAATTTTTTATTAGGATAAAATCATATTTTTAACGGTTATATTAACAGATATCAACAAAAAAGGATTATGTGTTACACGCGCACAAACGTCATGAGATGTAGGAGTAATATTCTAAATGTGAAATAGTTCAAATGATTAAGTGACAAGTATGAGGGGATCTATATATAATTTATCAATTTAGTTTTTAGGTGCACATTGATACAAATTTCTATCTTTGATGGTGTAAATTGAGATTTTTTATCTTTGAGGGTGCACATTGATACAAATTTCTATCTTTGAGGGTGCAAATTAAGATTTTTAATCTTTGGAGGTCTAAATTGAAATTCAAACTATCTTTTGGTGTGCAACTTGCAATTAATCCATATTTTTATGTGATATCTCAAAAAAGACAACATCTAAATTACTAACAATTTTTAACTATAAACTCATCACGTGATACTTAAATATAGACAAAAAATAATTTGGATAATTTTTGACAAAAAATGTGTAATATGAATAACTCTTGACTAAAATTTAGATAACTCATGATAACAATTGTATAATTTGGGTAGCCTTTTAACTAATATTTAGTCAAAAATTACCAAATTTATTTTTTTGATATTCAATATTTTTAAGACTAAAATAATACAATTAAAATATTGAGAATCAAAATAAAACAAATCTCATACTTTGGAACTTCCAATATAATTAACCCTTTTTTTTTTGCGATATATTAAAAAATATTGAATAATGTTGTGAGCACCGTCTCTTCTATATTACATGCAATTAGAGTTATTAAATATTTAATAAATTTTGTAAGATTTACTATTCTAACAGTGTATGGTAAGGTGATGTACAAAGGTAAGGGAGGAATGCGGTGTGCGTAGCGTTATTAAAAAACATTTGTAATTATTGATTGAGTTAATTATAGATGACTATGGCAATGGTCCCACGCGATGTACAAAATATTAAAAAAGTATTACCCAGACTCCCATTTTAACATTATTAAAAATTGTTTATTAGTGTTAATTAATATTTTATATAAATAATTAATAAAGATGATAAAAAAATTCAAATATAAAATCATTATTACAAAATTAAAATTTGTTATATAGGCCACATATTGAAATTCACTTGAAGGAAGTTAATTAAATAATTTACAATTAAGAGAAAATAAGATTTGAAAAGGAAAATTTTATCAAACACTCTGTCTACTAAATTAAATTTTTTAATATACAGTATATATTATACACATTATTTACAAAAATTAAAGAATAAAATTAGATACTAAAATATCCCAAGCAACATCCAATCATTCTTCCTTCCTTACTTAAGAAGCTAATTTAGATGGGTCTAAACTAATTATGGGGTTGCGGAGAGAATTGATATGGATCGGAGTTTTGGTCAAAGAAGAGTTAAATTTTAAATTAGTGGGTAATTCTTTATATACTAAATTTATGCACCAAAAATTATATCAAATCAACTGTAACTATTGAATTAGTGATAGGATCCACATATCCAACGACTGCAAATAATTTGGTGCACATAACATTACTCTAAATTATTATTCAAGAAAGTTTTGAGGGAGTGAGTTTCAATAATATTAATTAAATCAAATTTATTTAATATATTTTATATTTACATTAATAACAAAAATCATCGAAATAACATTGTTCAATTTTTCTTGGTCTAATTTTCAATTTTGGGAGGATAAAATTTCCATGGTGGACCTTGCCATTATATAATTGTTTTAATGACAATTGTCTGCCTATTGAGATTTAAGCTTGTTAAGGCAAGTAACGAAGGAAAAAGAATTTTCTTTGAAAAATGTTAAATTGATTTCTAAATTTGATTTGAGTTGATTTGATGTATCATTATTATTGAATAAACAATGAATTTTAATAAATATTAAGATTTATAGTTAAATCAACGATAAATATAATAATCATATTATCAAATTAATTTTTTAAGTATGTGTAAAGTTACTTTTTTTATTTTTCTTTTTTTTCTTTTTTTTTTTGGTTTAGAATGAATTTTGAATCACAATATTTAATAATATACAATAATGACCAAAAGAGAAACCAATCATTAATGAAGCGACATAAATATTGGATTTTAAATAAATAAAAATGAGAAAAAAATATCATTATTACAATTTTATGTCATTTAATCCCTGATTTTAGTTTTTTTTTTTTTTTGTCAATCTAACATTGCTTCTCCCTGAATCTTTGTTTGCTCGTATTTTTATTGGTATGTCAATCGTATCAGGTGAGGCAAATTCGTATCAAATCTTAGTAAGCTCATGTCAAAAAAATACTTTACTCATATCTAATTCATTTATTAATTTGTATCTAACAAATCATATCATATTAGGTTTATATCGTGTATAAACTATATATAATTGATATATAAACGAATCATGTCGTATATTTTTTTAATTAGTTTTACTTATACCAAGTTCATTTATTAATCGTGTTGTATTGAGTTTATTCATTTACTAAACGGGTGAGTTAAAAAAGACTTAAACTCTCTAATTTCGTATCATGTTAATAGATTGTATAATATTTTGACACTCTTAAATGCAACCATGATTTTAATAGGAAAAGCTCAAATTTGATATCTAAGTATGGAAATTCTCATTTATGATCTGTAAATGAAATCAAACCTATAGTATGACCATCACATGTCAATATAACTTATCATATTAATAACATGAGCATTACAAAATCAACAATCTCAATGCATTCCACTCTATTTTTCTTTTTTACAGTGTATGTATCCCACTTCATTAACCAACTTTTACTTATACAAGGCAATCTTATTTTAGATTGAACCCAAGACATTTAATAAAACAAATATAAATCAGGTAAGGTCGTTAGTTAGTAAAGTATGTGTAATGTGTATAAGAAAAATAGAAAGAGTATATCGTCTTCTTTCGCATGCGAGGCAGTGTCATATTCACTTTAGACTATTGTTTGATTCGTGTGAAGTAAGAAATTTATATTCCTTCTTTTTTTCAATTTTATTTTTTCACTCGTTATTTTCGTAGAGTTATAAACATTAAAAATTTATAAAATAGAAGAATAATGGGAAGTAGATAATTGGAGTGTTTGTGGATAGTCATTTGAGACATTGAGTGAAATATTTTATTTTATTTTTATTTAATAAATAAAAAACCCACAAATTAAAAGAAGGTGTATAGGATACGATAGGATAGACAAACACGGTTTTGTTTAAAGTCATGTCCACTTTTAGCGGTAATCATGTTGTAGACTTCTTGTCAACACGTGTTTAGCGACCAAGAGTTTTGTAAGCAGAAGAAAATGACTAAAACATCTTACTCGGACTCCGTGGTCGTAGCTTTTTGAAAAGGGAAAAATTGTGTGGTCCAAATTTGTTTATTAAAATTTATATTTTAAATAATATGTCAAAATTTTATAAATCAAAAATTTAATAGAGTTAATGAATTTCATTAATCTAATCATTCACATTGATTTAGAGTATAAAATTTAGTAAATGATTTGGTCAGTATAGTATTTTTCTAATATTATTACGTGATACAATATTTTAATATTAAATAAGGCAATCTTACTTTTTTTTATATATTTGATGATTAAGGGATATTAAATAAGTTGAATTTGAACAAATTTTGATATGTTTTAACTCATAATTTGTAAAGTCTATTCAAAGTTTGACTCGGGTTCACACGCTGAACTTAAAATTTTGTTCAAATTTGACTCGTTTAAAAAATGAGTCACTTATTATTAATATGAATTCGAATCTAAGTTCAGGCTCGAACTCAAGTAAGTCAAGGGATCATAATCATGAGTGTATTGTTGATAGATAACATATAGATGTAAGAGATATACAAATTATATCCCTACCAAAAAAAATACCCAACGTCTAAGAGCCAGCTGAATAGCTTGGGCTTGACTTATTTTAAAACAAGCTTAAAATTCCGTTTATATTTGTTTTCTATGACGAGTTAAATGAACTTAAGCAAGCTAAAAAATGATTAAAACCCGAGTCAAACCAGAATAATCCTTTACAATATTTAGTCCACATCAACAAATAAATATTTTAGTGCAACAATAACGTCACGTTATTATTGTCAATATTATTATTAGATAATAAATAATTAATATATTATATAAAGAGGTGAATACTAAAAAAATGTGAAATACACTTGCTCACTTGTTACTTTTTAATTAAATAGTAATATTTTATGATAATGAAGACTTAATATCATCATTACATTAAATATTTTTACTGCATTGACATTTTTTAAGAGCTAGAAATCAACGCCAAGTTACCACAAAAAAGAGGAGCCACGTGGCAAAGCTTTAAAGGTAAAGCGTAGCGTACAATCCGATACACGATAATCTTATAGTAAAAAAAAAAAAAGAAAGCTTATCTCAACTTATCCAAATTGACAGCCTTTTATCTCCGGCCGATAACTTTTGTGGCCCCACTAATGGTCAATGTTGCCATATTTTTTTATCAAGGCGATTAATCTGACGGCTGAGATTGGTCAGACAACAGAGTTTGCCAAATCTCGTAAGGAATCGAATAGATTACGGTAGCATGTGTAGATATCTTTGTCTACCTTACTATGGAGACACATGGACCGTCAGAATTCAACATGGGCCCATTCAATGGATTTATGACCGATAGTGTGTTCCACATGTCGTCCTTGACCCTGTTACTTTGTCTCACCTTTTAGTCAACTTGAGTTTCTATGTCCACACACAAAAAAAACCAACCCTACACGTTTCTTCCTTTTGATTGTGTCAATTTCTCCCTCTTTTCCTCGAGCAGCTAATCACATTGACTAGATGATAGAATTGAATTTCTTGGTTATTTCTTTTCTTTGGTTCAACAGCCTAATCCCCTTCCCGTCATTTTCTCTCTCTTTTCCACCAAGCAGCTAATCACATTGACTAGTGGCTGATAGAATTTCTTGGTTATTTCCTTTCTAATTTGGATAAATTATATCCACCTTTCCTGAAATTTAGTCAAATAACAATAAGACTCCCTCTTGTTTGAATAATAACAATGCACTCCCTTCTATTTTAATTGTTGATAACAGATTCTCCCTACCGTTACTATTCCATCAAGAAATAGTTAACTTTTGATGGCATAATCAATTTATATTATCAAAATATCATTTTTTTTTACCCTTTTACATCCCACTTATATTACCAAACATAAAATATTCACCTTAGATTCAAATTATGCTAGTTTCCAAAAAAAATCCATTAATTTATCCCTTTTGTATCGAAACCCACCATGGCTCGAGCCTCCTCCTCCTCCTCTCCCTCCCTCTCTCTCTCTCTCTCTCTCTCACACACACACACACAGAGTAACCTCCCTAGCCGTCGCCACCGTACCTCCTTTACCACCATAATTGCCCTTGCCCACTTTTCGATTGAACCACCTTGGCACCTATCCTCGAGCTCCCCCAACATATCCCAATCCCCAACTTCTTCTTTTTCTCCTCTCTCCTTCTCCCTCCCCCTTTTAAGAATCAAAATCTAAGACTGAAAGGTAAATTGCAACCCTTATCACCGTTGGAAACCACAATATCATCGTCGGTAAGTTGGTAGTGGCGAATTGGATTAACTGTGTGTCTTGGTGCAAGAAAAAATTGGGTTAGTATTGGATGCGAAAGTGGTTGGGTTGGTGGTGGTGGTAGGTTAGCAGTGACGATGATAATGGTGGTATGTTGACAGGGGCGATGGTGATATGTTGACATTGGTGGTGATGGTGGTAGGTTGGCAGTGGTTGTGGTGGTGGTATGTTGACAGTGGCGGTGGTGGTAGGTTAGCAATGGTGATGGCGGTAGTATATCGATTGACACTATTTGTGTTCTTGAAATAGGGCAAAAAAATAAGGTGATGATATGATATTGTGAGATTGGTTTGTAGTAGAATTAATAAAAAACTATCCCTACAACATGAAACCTATATTTTTTTCCTAAAGGGTATTTTTGCCATTTCATAACTTCTGTTAGTCAGCTAAGATGAAAGTGACTAGCATAGGAGGCCAATGTTATTTCCCTAAAAAGGGACTTTAGAGACAGATCATTTACACTAAGATTAAAGTATTCAAAAGAAATAAATTTCTCATTATCTCACTCTAAGAGATTGGTAAGGTTTAAATTCAAGACATTTGAATTTACAACTTTTATATGTTACCACTTAAATTTTTGGTTACTTCTTTTTGGAAACAATGTGTGCAAATTTGTGCACCAAATAATTGTCCGTTGTAGAATGGCAATGAGCTACGCTAATCCAATGACGGAAAAGTATTTGTTGCACAAATTTAATACAAATAACATTACCCATTTCTTTTTTTTTATCTAAAGTTCAGGTCTTGTATAAAGCATCCTCAGTTTGGTTGAATGTGTGCAAATTTTGAGTTCTTACATACATTCTAAATTTACGGAAGACTCACAAATTTATAAAATTACTAATTGTGACTAAAATTATTTATTTTAGATATAATTCACGAACACCATATAAAAAGACGGGTAAACAACTAGTTCTTTGACAGATAAGTTAGTTAGTATTATGATAATCAAATGGTTTTTTCTAAATTAAGTTACTAATCCAGTGATGCCGCTTAAATTCGATTTCTAAGATCTTCGTCTAATTTTCTACTAACTACTAACTCGGAAAAATAGGAGAGAGAAAAAACCGAGTATTAAATCCAACCTCCCACCTCTTAAAGCACGCTTAACATACACAATAAAATTATTTGTCCAAAGGATAAAATTAAAACTCTAAAACCTCGTTTAAATGCCAGACTAAAGAGGGAATAAAAAAAAAACTAGACAATATTCATGGTAGTTTAAGTAGTAATAAAGACAAACTATAAACCTAAACATCTTAAGTTCGAATCTTGACAATTTTTTTAGATTATGGCATAAGAGATTTATTTATCATGAATATCATAGTCTCAATGTAGCTAGTCTGTCATTGATCGAATCAAAGAGGGAATTAATCGATGTGCACGTATAGGACTGTCAAAATCCAACATGACACAATTAACCGACACAAGTCGACATGAATTAAGCGGATTTAGATAAGATTTTAATGAGTTGACATGTCAAACATGTTTAATAAACGGGTCGTGTTCGAGTAAGACCTGTTAAACCGTTTATCACACGTTTACCCGTTTAAATAAAATTAATATAATAATAAATTAATAATTATTTAAAAAAATTAGCAAAAAAATAGAAATAAAGAAATCAATAAAAAAAAAATAATAGTTCAAAGACAAAGGAGATGAGAAAATGAGCACTTCAAAGACAAAGGCAAATCAATGTCTTTCATTTTTGTCCTACATTAAAAAATGAGGGGGAGATGGGGAGGGCTGAGTTGCCTATAAAAAACAATGATCTCTTATTTTTTTTTTAAGCCTTCAAGTCTTATTTTTATGAAATTTGACTAATTTTTTTTTTTTTGAGATAAATGCAATTGACAATAAAATAAAAGTGGAGTATTAAAATTTGTTAATATAATTTTTTTAAAATTAAACGGGTAAAACAATTCATCGTATTACATGTTTATTAAACGGGTCGTATTCGTGTTAAAATTTTTTACCTGTTTATTAAACGTATCGTGTACAATTTTATATATTTTTCACCTGTCACCTGTTTAACCCAACACGTTCGACACCCCTATGCACGAAAACTAATCCGGACACCCCTGCCTGCTGAAAAAAAAAAATAGACAAGACTATCACAATTTTTTGGGCTTGATCACTTTGAAATACCAAGAATTTTGAAGACATTTCTCTTTTGCGCATTTTTACTAAGTGGAGAACTTATTACTTTTTAAAGCTAGAATATGTACGTCATTAGAGATCCCAATTCATTATTTTTCCGTTAGCTGCTAACAACAGATACCCTTATCTAGAGGTGACAAATGGAGTTGGCTATGAATTAATTCAAATGGGATTAACTACAAAAGAAATACAATCTATTTTCAACTAACTTAATAAACAGGTTATAATAAATTTGATCACAACGGGTTAAATTAAACTCATTAAGAGCCTTACCTAATTTTTTCCTATTTTTGGGTACGAGGACTTTATAGTAACCATATACCACAATAAAAAACAGTAACTTTAGTTTAATCCATCTTCTGAAGATTATTGAGCAATTAGTCTTAAGGACAAGAATAGTTAGTCGTAGAGAAATCGAGTTTAATTCTCATTAACTCAAAACAAAACGAACTCCAAGGGTGCCTTCATGCATAAATAACGTAATCTTCCGGGACCCACAACAAATTCCAACCCAAACCAGCCATTTTTATTTCTCTAATAAAAGGGAACCAACTATCGTTTGGAAGGAAATTCTATGGGGATAACTATATTCAAGTGTATATAACCGTCCATGGAGGAACATACCATGAAACTTTGGTTCATCTTCGAAGTTGAAAATATGACAAGTAGATCATTCCAGGAAATTTCTGCCCCCTAGTACTAGGGCAAGGGGATCATTTCTAATGAAGATGATGAGTGAGGAAAAGAATTCTAAGTCAAGGCAGTAGCACGATACGACATCAGTCCCTTAACCAAAACATATAAAACATGAGGAAGATTATGTTAGCAAAAGAAGAACCGTACCAAAAAATGTTATCGATCTCAAAACGTTAAGATCAAACATAAAAATTACAAATTTTAAATGACAAATTATAATTTTTAAAAGTAAGTTACAACTCTAAAATCATTGAAATCACCTCCTTCAAATTAAAGAACTTACATGGGTAAACAATTTTTATAGTTATTTATGATCGATCACAATATTTCATAATCAATCATGAAATACACCAATCGGTTATAACTTTACTTTTAAAGAGTCTATCTTCACATTTAAAAATAAAAACTTTCGGTATTGTTCCAAATTTTTTTTTTTTTTGGGTATTGTTGTGCTATCCTAAAATAGTGGATAATTATGATTGACTATACTTTATGCTTATTATATCACCCTAAAAACAAAAAAAAAAAACTTGGGAATTCTAGTCAAATAATACGAATAAAGTGAAAGTTGTAATAGTACAGAAGCATAATATTTATATGTCATGCCAGTCTTCAGCGAAAAAGCCAGGAAGTACCACTGGGAATTCAAAAGTATCAATAGTCTTGGAAAACTGCACACAAGTACGAACATTACAATCTGAGCAAGTTCTGTTGACTCTCTTCCTTCGAGTTTTTCATGCTCTTTGAAACTTCCCCAAAATAGTATGCTCTTTTTTTTTTTTTTTTTAAAAAAATTCGGGGGAGGGGAGGGGGAGGGGGAGGGAGATGGAGAGCGGGAAGGGTCCCCAAAATAGTATGCTTATCAAATTCTTTTATTAAATTTTCCTCGTAAATGATGTGACACAATTTTTGTCATTGAATATTAATAAAATTCACTTAATGGTGAAAAACTATACCACATCACTTGGGATGAACATTTAATAAAAAAATTTGGTAAACATAACATTACCCGTGGAAAAATAATACGGAACCAATTTTTTTTTTTTTTAAATATCATACCAAAAATTACCACAATTAAAGGTTAACTTATATCTTGCAAATGACAAGTTACAACTATTCATGACTAATCACAAAATTTGTGATTGATCATGAAATGTTATGATCGATTATGAATAACTTTGTAACTTCAATTTTAAAGTGTAACATAACTGTTAAAAGTTGTATTTTTCAAAATCGAAGCCAACATTTTGTGATTCATCATGATTCTTTGAGGTTGAAATAGACTTGAAAAAAAACTCACATTACAAGGCCGAGGCATATGTAATCCTGAGCTTCTCTTCCAGGTAGTCTCCACCGCGGATTGGAGGAAATCTGCAGCATGACAACTGAAGCATGTCATTTGCATTCTCTCATCCTGAAACAACTCTCCATGAAATGCAACCAAACAAAAGAAACTGAAAAGGACATTCAAACTCTTCTAAAATTCACTTCCTTTGAGAGGAATATGTACCTAGTTCAAATTTTCGCCCGATTCACCAAGGAATATTTTGGTTGCTTTTGGCAGATGGCTTACTACTAGGTTGGATTGGATGTCAATCTATGGTGGCACCATTTGTTACTATTAGACAAAATTTTCCTATTGTTTTCTTCTTGTTCTTTGCCATAACGCCTATTCCGAGATGAGTTAGAAGAGGAATTCCTAATTCTTACACGGACAAGACCACTCACAACTGATCAGTGAAAAATTCTTAACACCAATCATTTACAAGCGAGTATAACACATAGAATTGACAATCGGATGAGTTTTCTAGTTGGTTATCTTGATATAATTTAGATAGATAAAAGATACTCTACTATAGGTAGGGCTGAGCTTTCAAATCGAAGGGCTTTGTCCCCTCTCCCTTACTCGCCCTTTCAAAGCCAAAACATTGGCATAGAAGGGTATATTTTGAATGAATTAATGAGATGCACTTGGTTGCCAACCGGGTGGCTCAATAGTGTTGTTAAAAAAGCTTGGGCTTTAACCCCATTTTCAAAGAGAGCCCCAAAATTTTAGATATTATAAATAGTCCATGTAAAAAAATTAAATCCATAAATACTTTAAGCCCTATAAAAAAGTCCTATAAAAATACAAGCCCAATCAAAAAAAAATTTAAGGCATCGCTTCAAGGAAGCCCTATAATTTATAGGTGTACAGTAATAGTCCAAATAACAAAATTTAAATTTATGTCCAAACAAAATATTTCAACTTAATAGATTTGACCTATTAATTTAACCGTGAAATTAAAAAGTCCTAAAATTTATTTATTTTTTTAAAAAGAAAAAAAAATTAACATTAAAACTAAAGCTACTAAAAAATCTAGAGAGCGCGTATACGGTCAATGTGGCCAAGCGCAATGACCTTCATGTCTAGCCTATTGTTAATGATATTATTGCACTATTAGGACTCATTTAAATAAACCTTCTGAGCGACCCCATAGAGTTGTTACCAAAAACAGTCTTAAACCAAGGTTTGGATAGTATAAATGCCTTCTGGTTCCTGTGTTACTGACTATTAAAGGATGTAAACTAACCAAGAAAGGCACAGCAGCATAATATATCACAAAGCAAGGCCAACGGGTAAACCCATACCTAGGAGGAGATGACTCACTGCAGCAAGTCTTTAAGCATTCCACCACACAATCCGGATTGGGATCTACAAAGAAAGGCATCTGCAATTGGCAATATATAAATTTTCAGCTTTTTAGTGCAGTATAGCCTTGACGAAAGCCCGACAGACATTACAAATATGTGTGTCCAGCGACGTTGAAATCATATCAAGTCTTGAAATTTAGCATATCAAAAGGGTCCATTTCATATGATGCACTGAAAAAGAGAATTACATCTTTTATTCGTTAGACACACAACTGAAATTATTTATTTCCTTATATGTCAAAGGGTCAAAACAAGTTTATAGATTGTTACAATCATTATAAAAACATCATCAACGTACAGAAGGCAATGAAGCAAATTTTGTAAAAGACAAGAAAGTAAATTGGGAAGAAAATCTTGATTACAGAATAGCGTTCTCGTCCTGTTGGCATCACTCTGTGCAGAGTTGACCTACAAACAAATGATGACCATGAAAATTAAAAAAAAAACCAGGAAGTTGCTTAATATTTCTGTAACCAAAAAAAAAAAAAACCACAACAATCAAAGAACATTCCACCTAAGGACATGGATGAACTCTCAGAAGAAAATTAAAGATGTCTAAGTTACAGCAGCTGATGCATTACCCAAACAAACAATTTGTCCACCTCTCCATTGCATCCCCGATGTTAACAATGAAGGTCCTGCATATTCATAATGGCCACAAGAAACTTTTATGTCCTGTGCTAAATGTACCTCTACTCTAGTGAAGCATAAATTAAACACTTGCTGCTAACCCAAGTAGTTATGTAACAATGTGCACTCTCCACAGTAAAGGTCACAACGATTTCATATTTCAGCCCTTTTCCATGTTAGCAGTTCATATGTGTGAAACGTGTCCATGTGCAGTCTCCAGAGTACCTATCTCTTTTATCTTGCACACATTCTTTGCGTTTTTCTTTTCAGTGTAATTGATTAAAAAATTTAGGAATGAAGAATACATTCTATAACATGACCATTAATGGCTCCAACCAAATGTTTCGTCCTGTGTATGTCTTGAACATGTTGACCATCCACATGTTCTTTTCATAATTGCTTTTGGATGAAGATTGTTCAAACAGGTTAGTTCAAGTTTATAGATATTCTGTCAAACTTGCCTAGCTTTATTCCTAGAAAGCTGCTGTTTATATTCAAGGAATGAAGAAAAATTAACATCTTGAATGCCGGTATGCTTAACGTAGCAACATGAACTCACCCATTGATATGATGCACATCTTCCCAGACACGTGGTTGCTTAAATTTCTCCCTGCAAACCTTTTGATACAAAAAAGGTAACTTAATGATGGCAAATTGGTATTCGTAGAAATCAAACGCGATTATTTTCAAAACCAGACATGCCTGAAGTCCACTGACTCCATCGGATGCTAGAATTGTGACCATTCCATAATCTGAATGAGCAGAAGCACCGTATATTTCTTCACTGGAAATCCCCAACTCCCCTTAAATCAAATAACAAGGCAAATGTTTCAAGTAAATTGCTTAATAGCCAACTTTAGATTTGTGCCATTCAATAACCTTTTCTAAAATAACTTATCCTGAAAAGATATTTCTCCTCAATCTACTGGGGTCAAACACAAATTCAAACCTGGTCCTCAGATCAAGCAAAAGGTTCTGATTAGAGTTCATTTTTCTCTCACTTTTTGCCTACAGCACCCAGAACCGGGTGATCAGAACTAATTTATGCATATATCCTTTGTACCACATGAGTAGGATTACATTGAATATTCTTATGCTTCAGTAACATACATCTTGAGGGTTGAAAATGTAAGTTGCTACCAAGTGCATGAACTACAGCTTAAAGTTGGGTTTAAAATGGAGATCTTTTTCACTTTTGTCTCACAGCCCATGTTTACATTAATATCCCTAAAGGAAAGCCAAGACCTCTGTTCATTGAATATCAACTGATTGATTTCTTTGAATGCAAAGGCACAAGTAAAAACAAGGATGGTTTCAATTTTTTCTCAACAGTCAGTTGACTCGGTTTTACAGGTACATGTCCGCTGGCAAGCAGAATCTTACACTTTTCCTGTATTCTGATATGAATTGACACAATGGCAATAATCAAGGAGAAAGAAAATGAGAAACGTAATGCTAAATAAATATGGAGAAAGAAAATAAGAGATGCAGATCTAAATGGAAACTGAGTTCCTCTTTACAAACAATCCATCATACCAATTCCTGAGTCAAATACACAGAGCATCTTGCAGATTTCAGACAGGCTATCTCAATGGTGGTGTTTTTTTTCTCTTTGTTTTTTAATCCGGGGTTTTGGGTGATGGGGCAACAATTGAACAACTGCAAATAAAACTTGCCTAATTGTAATGGCCAAACCTGGATAACGTAATAGCCGAAGGAAAGCATATGGTGGATTTATAGCTCCCACCTTCTCAAAGAAATCTTCGTCCAAGTTCAAAGCCAGAGCAATTAGTGAGATCAGTCTCTTTCCCACATGTCTGATGCAGTAACAGCACCATCCAAAAATCATTCAACCTTGTCACCCAAAAATATCAAGAAGTACCCCCACCCCCCCC